TGGGGGGAAGGATGCTGCTGGCCGGCGCTGCGGGGATGGGGGGGCCACCGTTGTGGGAGCTGGGTGCACGGTGCCTGATGGCAGCTATAAGGGATGCCACGTGCCCCTTACAGCTGCCATCATGCGCCCGCCATCAGTTGGCGCCCCGGGCAGCTGCCCGGCTCGCCCACCCCTTAGTCCGGCCCTGCACACACACACGCGCGCACACACACACACTCATTCCTGCCAGACGCTGTTATAGTTACCAGTCTAGAGTCTGTATCAATCTAGTGGCCAGTTAGATCGATTACAGAGGGAGAGCAGGGCCTTCCGTCGGTCGCGATCTGATGCTCATCTGGAGTTGGTGGCAAGATGAACCCAAAGTTCCATAGCAAGGCATCCTGCTTTTATAATCCTTTTCTCCGTTGAAGTTCATGAATTCTGCTGTGTCAGTCTGTGACCAGCGTGTTAACTTGTTGATGTCATTCATTCCCAAAACGTTTCATCCTGTAATCAATCGTCTTTTAGGGGTGCTTGCTTCACTTTAAAGCCATCAGTCTGCCAACCCAATCACTCCTTGGCCATGGGTATGCACTGGTGGTGACTGATGGTCTTCTGACGCTGATCAGTCTGTTTTCACCCACGCTCATCCCTCCTCCTTTGGCCATCTGGTCCTGAGCAATAACCTGCACACTTTTTAATCTCAATGCATACATACCACTTCCACACACAAACCATCTTTTACAAGGCCTTTCGAAGAAAAGCATAACATTAATATCTCATATTGGGCAAAGCAAGAGGCATTGTAAATCAAACAATTAAAACTTCAGCCTTCAACATCCCTCTAGTCTCATTAACATAGGCACAATACCAAAACTCTATTTCCTTAGTTACTAAACTTTAAAACAAAAGGGCTTACTAAAGGGCTTAGTTTAAATGTAATAATATGTTACCTTACATTGCTACGTTATTAAACCTAAAAATACAAACACAAAAAGGATAAAACTTTCAATACTAACATATTGGGTAGTTGAGTTGA